ATTCTGGTTTTGCTTTTTAATAATTTAAATATTTCCTGTACATTTAATCCATGTATGATGAATTGAACATTTATGGGGAATTAAACAGCACTTTATAACAAAACACCTTGGCTATGTACCTTATTTTTTACTCTGCAGAAAATTCTTAATGGAATACTATGAAGGAGGGGGAAGATGAGAGGTAGCCTCTTTTTATGGGAATACATGAAATTGTGCACTCAAAAAAGGAACAAAAGTCAGGCTAGTGGTGGCACTTGCCTTTAATGCTAGTGTTCAGGAGGCAGAGGCAGGTGAATCTCTAAGTTTGAGGCCAGCCTGGTCTACAAAGCCAGTTCCAAGACAGTCAGGGCAACACAGAAAAATTCTGTCTCAAAAGGCCAACAACAATAACAACAACAAAAAAACAAAAGTGGAACAAAAAAAAAATTCAAGTAGTCCCAGGAAGGAAATAACTACATATAGCACAGCAAACTTGACAGCCCTCAAAAATAATATAGAAGGAAAAGAAATGCACACAAGCCATCAAAACAGAGTATCATCTAGCAAACTTATAGGGAATAGCAAAACCCTTTCAATAATCTAAATGTAAATGCCCTTAACTCACCCCCAAAAGACTCTTAGGGACTGGATTAAAAAACAAAGCAAGCTGGGCATTGGTGGCACATGTTTTTTTTTTTTTTTTTTTTTTTTGAGGGGGTGGGTGTTTCGAGACAGGGTTTCTCTGTATTGTTTTGGAGGCTGCCCTGGAACTCGCTCTGTAGACTAGGCTGGCCTCGAACTCACAGAGATCCACCTGCACTACCAGGCAAGAATTAAATCTTAAGGCTGGTGAGATGGCTCAGTGGGTAAAAGCGCTTACGGCCACGCATGGAGAAGGGCAGAACCAATTCCTGCAAGCTGTCCTCTGTCTTTCATTAGTGCACCCTTCACCAAACAACTACGTAAACATCAACAATTAAATCTTGGTGGAATATTCGATGCTGCATGATGCAGAACATCTTCAACACTTTTCAGCTGAATGCATACAGATGAAACGCCCATTCACATTACATGATAAAATAATTAAGAAAATAAAATTAAGTATACTAGGGTTGAGGATATGACTCAGGGGGTAAAGTACAAGCCTGAGAATCTGAGTTCAGATTCTTAGAACCCGCACTAAAGCTGAGGTGTTTATGACCCCAGCGTTGAGAGGACAGAAACAGGTGGATTTTCAGAGCTCACTGGCCAGTCAGCTTAGCCAAATTGGTGAGCTCCTGGTTGAGTATGAGGCCTGTCCTTTATTGCCACTGGGAGTGGTGTGTGCCCTGGTGTACTCATGTGGAGGCCAGAGGGTCTTCTCCTTCCACTGTGAGGAGGGTTCTGGGGATGGAATTTAGATAATTAAGCTTGTATAGCTTGCACCGTCACCAGACCCTAGGGGATGTGGGTCAGGCAGTGTCAATAGAGAATTGTGCAGTAGAGAACTGTGGAGGTTAAGACCAAGGGATGTGAATATTGCATCTGCTAGTTAACTTTGTGTATCCTGGAAAAATTCAGTTAACTTTCAAGGTCTCAGTTGATCCAATCTGAAAACAGTACTTTATTTAAGTGGCAGGCTGGGGGTGTAACTCAGTGGAGAAGTGCTTCCCTGGCATGCCCATCACTGTAAAAAATGTTTTTTAATGTAAGATAGTATGTGACAAAATATTTGAAAGCATTATCTAGGCACACTAATACTATTTCCAGTAGTTCCCACCTTATAGGAAGGTAAAGTAAGGTGTTAAAAATTCAGAAAACCACTACTGAATGTTAAGTTTCAATATTTCTGTGGTGTACATGGCCCTCCCTCCCCAATTCATTATGCAGACTAGGCTGGTCTTGAACTCTAGAGATATATCTCCCTCTGCATTACTAGGATTAAAAGTCTGTGTCACCACACCTGGTCATTTTGTGTTTTATTAAGTAAACCTTTCCATCCCCAAGTCCTATTTGTGGACTGAAATGTGTATTTTTTTCTTCCCTATGAAAAAGGAAAACTTGGGCAGATTAAAAAAAATCACGAGTTAAAAATATCTGAAGGAAACAGAAAAGTTACTAATCATAACCTTAAGGTAGACTATTTTTGTACTAGTTCTATATATAAGAATAGCCCCGTTGCCAGTTTCTATAAACTAAACATTTGTTATTTACTTTTCTGTTGGTATAATTAGGTAGGAAGGATTTAAAGTTCTGTATAAAAGCATTTTAGGAACAGTGGCAAAGGTCTGTCATAACAGCATGTTGAGGCACCGTTCAAATGAGTAAGTTGCCAAGCAGGGTGTTTGCTTTTAGCATTCTTTACCCTCCCCCACGGTATCCAGTGGCTTTATATTCTAATTGTGAAGAGCAAGAGCTTCTACAGCTCTTGGGCTATAAAATCTATGATAAGGGATGGGTTTACAAATTGATTGCCTGTTGGGCACATCTTTCCTGGGATTTTTCTTTGGTCTGCAAGGTTTCGACATCCTGGTGGCCAACACTTAAGACTTAAAGATCTCACACAAAACCCCAACGTTATGGTTTTGGTAACAAAAAAGGAGACTATGATGATCTCAAGAGTGGACCTACGTCCCTACAGGAAATAATCTGCTAAAGCTGAGCAGCTGTTCCCCTTAAGGGCATGGATGGATACACCGGTTTCCACATCGCCTAACATTCCCATTGTTTTCTACCAGACCAGTCGTCTCGTTCAATCGCGTTATTTGTCAAGCCACTGTAGACATCTGAGTCTGCAAACACTATCCAGACCTTTACTGTCTCCCATCAAAGCTTACTTTGTTCTGCCCCAAGTCCCTCATCAGATTTTAAAGCAATAGCCTGGTAATCTGATCAAGTACGTGTACTTTTACTTGTGCTTTCTGGAGATAGCATCTCAGCAGAAAGAGATGACTATGCAGGTGGATATTACAAGCATCACGGGATTCCAGTCAGGATTGCGAGCGTCCACTCTAACTTACTCTAGTCACAGCTCTCAGATGGATCAAGGCAATTGTTTCCCTTGTAGAACAATGGACGCTGGACTAAGTGTGAGACCTACTTAAGCAGCAGTGTGCAGATCACCTAAAAGACGAAAAACCGCTACGAGCATTTCTGACTTGCGCTTACTTGGAGGCTTCGGGGTAGTTGGGTCTGACCACATTTCCCCTCACCTGTTTCGGGGTTGCTTTTGAGCTGGGCTGTCGCGCCCAAGGAGCGCGCGCATCTAGCATGAGCTCATCTCTCGGGGGCGTTTCCAGAAGGCCGGGCCTGGCTGAATGAGCCTGGCGCAAAGGGCCCCATGCAAGCAGTAGCCCCCCGCGAAGGGCGGGCGCGGCTGCACAGAGGCGCTGCTTCTCTCGAAGCTTTGTTCCCATTTGAGCGCCGGAGGGTTCGACCCTCAGCCACGGAGGCCCCAAGGCTTCCGGGGAAAGAGGTTTTCAGATGCTCAGCACGCGCAGAGAGCCTCGGGAACACTCTGTCAGCCGCGCCCCGTCGAGCCCCAGGGGATGGGGACGGCCCCTCGCCCCGCTCGAGCGCCCCGAGTGCAGCTCGCCGACCGCAGCACTTTCAGACAAGCTGCACAGACAGCACGAGCGTCCTGTCGGAGAGCAGATGCGGGCCGACCAATCAACCCGTCCGCCCGCTGCAGGGTCTACCTGAGGCCAATCCCACTGCAGCTAGGTCTTGCGATTGCTCGGCAGTAAGCACCCATTGGCTACCTCCACGGGCTCCGGCACCCTCCTCCCTTTGGAGCAGCCTTCCTCCCCCCCCCCCCCCCGCGCTTCTGCTCGACGCTACAGGCCAATGAGATGGCACTTTATAGACGCCCTCCCTCCGCTTTCTCCTTCTCCCCACCTCAAAGAGGGAGGGGAAGTTCTGACTGGCCAGATGTCCTCGGAAGCCCCCGTCCCTTCACCAATCACTGAGAAAGGCACACGCCCAGTGGAGTTGTCCAGCCAATGAAGAAACGGGCACGGCGCCCGGCCGTGCAGTTCCTCCCGCGACTCGGGAGTTTCGCTGTCCTTAACTCTTCAGGCTTTTCCCTGCGGGCCGGCAACTCTGATTGGCCACTGTGGCTAGTGTCGAATCTCTTCTCCAGCCAGCCACACAACAGGGCGATACCACTTTCCTTCTGTTCGGCTACCTTCGGCATTCCTCGTTGCTGGGGCGTGGTCTCCCAGCGGTGTCTTCTCATTGGTTATTCAGGCCGCTCGGCTTTTTCCGGCAGGAGCCGCAAGCAAACGACGCCTTTGATTGGTTCCGGTTTGGGATTCGGCTTCCCAGCCGAAGCTGGCGGGCGCGGGCTCGGCGGGCGATTCCCAGACGCCTGTTACGCGGGCGGCGGGGCGCTGGGCGGTGTAAGGCTGGGTGGGGGAGGAAGGAGGCGGAGGACGAGTAGGAAGGGGGAGGGGGAGTGGGGAAGGGCTAGGCGGCTGCGCAGACGGCGCGCCTCACACAGAGCAGCCCCCGACCCGGCCGAATGCGGGCTTGTGCCGCCGCCGTCGCCGCCTGGGCCGAGTGACAAAGGAAGGAAGGCAGTGAGGAGGAGCCGGCCCTGCAGCCGCTGACAGGACTTCGGGCTCGGGGCACAACGCGGACACTTCCTGAGCAGCCGCTGGGCAGAAGCGAGGGGCGGAGGCCGGCCGTGCCGGGGCCGCGGACGGGGGAGGGGACCCCGAGGGACGGAAGCGGTTGCCGGGTTCCCATGTCCCCGGCGTATGGGGAGCAGTCAAGGAGCCGCTGCCTGGGGTCTGAAGGGAGCTGCCTCCGCCGCCGCCGCCGCCATGGCCGCTGGATCCAGCCACCGCCTGCAGCTGCTCCTGGCGCAATGAGGAGAGGAGCCGCCGCCGCCACCGCCCGCCGCTGACTCGCGACTCCGCTGCCCTCCGGTTCACCCGGCCGCCGCCGCCGTCAGACCGCCGGATCCCGCTGCGGCCGGAGCCGCAGCGTTTGCCGTCGCATCTCCGAGCCATCTCCTCCCTCCTTCCCATCCCCCTTCTCTTCCAGCGTGAGGCTCGTGATCCTTCCGCCGCTTCCCTTCTTCATTGACTCGGAAAAAAATCCCCGAGGAAAATATAATACTCAGAGTACTTATTTTCAATCAAGTATTTGCCCTCGTTCACGTGATATATATATATATTTTTAAGGATTCCACTCCACCCTTTTTCTCCCCTCCCAGGAAAGGGAGGTGAAAGAATTGTATTCCCCCCTCCCCAGCCCTAAATCATCTATGTGTTAAATATCCGTGCTGATCTGTCTTGAAGGAGAAACACATCGCTCTCAATTTTTTTTAAATAGCTATACAAAAGGAGTGAAAAGCCAAGAGGACGGAGTCTTTTTTCTTTTCTTGCGTGAGAACTTAATGCTGCATTTATCATTAACCTAGCACCCTAATATAAAACAAAAGGAAGAAAAAGATTAAGGAAGGAAAAGGTGATTCAAGAAGAGCCATCATGTCGGGACGACCGAGAACCACCTCCTTTGCGGAGAGCTGCAAGCCAGTGCAGCAGCCTTCAGCCTTCGGTAGCATGAAAGTTAGCAGTGAGTATCGATTTTATTTTACACCCTTTCTCCACCTCACCATTAAGATAAGAAACCTCGAAATGCCAGGACCTTAAACTAAGAGACCTGATAGAACAATCAGAGGTAATGGAAAAGGGCAAAACCTTCCTTGAGTCAAGACGAAGCATCTCCCTTTTCTCCTCCCATATCCGCACCCCTCCCCCAGCCCCATTAACCTTGAATTGAGGGAATATTAGTTTTATTTGGCTGGTTGGGTTTGAAACTCCTTTTCTTACGCTCTCCTCACTGCTGGTAGTCAGTCAATTCAAGTGCCCCAGTGCCTTCAGATTAAAAAAGCGACGGAAGCGTTCGCTTGCCCATCCCTTTGAATAAAGAGGAGGACAAAACTTGATTAATAAACCATGATGTACATTTGCCGAGTATGTGTCTCCTGGAACGAGGGAGGTTATTGTAGTTAGCTCAGGTTATTATGGTTCTGTATTCTAAATGGAGATCTTAAGTGTCCCAGGCTCCTAATATTTCTTTTTTGCCCGTGTGACTATACAAAGTAGTTCTTAATCTGGGAATGAACTTGCTTGATAACCAGCATTCACGTTGGCGGCAAGCTAGCATCTATCCCTCACTCTGCTAGGGATTGGTAGAAGCTGATAAATACCCCAGATAAATAATCCCAGCAGTTGTCTTCAATTGGATAAGTGGTGTAATGTGGTATCTCTTAACCTTCCAGTTTTGACGTTGCCAATCTGCCACCATATAATTTGTTTAATCAAAAGGTAACTTGGAAGTAGATTCAACTTTTGATTGAGGTTGTCGTATCATTGTGCCAAATACTAAGTTAAGTGGTAATTGTCAGTGACTCATTGTCATTTAAGTTGAATTTTGAGTTCATTACTTGTTAATTTTTAGAGTACAAGTGGATACCCTCTTAGGATTATTTAAAATGTATCAGTATCTGTCATTGTCTTTTGCCTAGGGATCTGTGCTGAAAATTCTGTGTTGTTGAAGTGTTTGATATACTGAGTGTCTAGTGTTCCAATGTATCTATTTGTGGAGATATTCATGTGGCATTTAATGACAGCTTGTTTGAACATACTTGCAGATTCTGGCGAATTATCTCTTTTCCTTATTCTATGAAGGAAGAGTGAGGACACAAAGGTCCTTAGCTGCTGACAGAAGCTGAGATAACTGGAGAACTGAGATTTTTAGAAAGTCAAAATGTATGTGCTGTTCTGTGAAGTGGATTAAGCAATTGGAAACGATTCCTTTCGGTTGCACACAAGACTTCATTCGTGTAGGCTTTTGGAACTATCCCGGAACAGGGTAGTCCAAAGTGATAGCTGAATGGGAGATATTTTTGCAAGTTAACTTTCCCTTCAGTGACTAGCTAGTTTAGAATGCGGGGCATGTGAAGGGGGAAGCTGATTTTGCATCTTTCAGGGAAGGGTCGTGCTTTCTAAGCACTTTATGGAGTCATTTGGAAGGAAGTTTTAAAAATGTTAGGGTAATTTTCATTTGTGATGAAGCAGACCTCATGGTAGTTGCCTTTGGTGGTACTTCAGTATTTGTGTGGTTAGTTAAAAAAGCCGCACAGTCAGTTTTAGGCAGTAAAGCCACTTTACTTCGTTTCTTTCAGAGATCTGTATTGCCAGAATCAAATACCAAAAATTGGGGGACTTTCATGTTGTTTCAGAATTTTCTTTGAAAACAACTTGTTAATTCTTGATAGAGGTTTCTTAGGATGGAGTGAATCCAAGGAGTGTAGTTTAAAGTATTTTAATTTCTGTATTCCCATTATCAGTCACCATTAAAAAGACTTTAATGTTGATTTAAAGAGTTTAATGATAATTGTGTGTGTGTGTGTGTGTGTGTTTAATAAACGTGAAGTTAAGGACATGTAAATGAAAGAGGCAGGCATTTGTTAGGGTGCTAGTGTTCTTTCAAAACCTTTGGCACATAAGACATTATGGTACTTGTCCCTGGAACCGTGGACATACATTCAGAAAATAATGAAGAACATAGCGTGACAACTGCAAGATTATAAAATGCAAATCGAGTCCGTTGTTCAGAGGGACAGAGGGAAAGGGTGGTGAGAAGGAAGGGCTGAAGCTGGGAGATTTCTGCAGAGACTGCGAGTGTTTTTTACGTAGGTGCTGATGTAGGTGAACTGGGCGGGGAGAGCATGCCCCGTAGGTAGAAGGAACGCACAGCCACAGAGTTGGTGTGTTATGTGGAAGAGGAGAGCATGCTGACATACCTCAATTAGAGGGACCTAAGGAGGCAAACAAGGGGTGGACATTGAGATTTAGGGCAGAGTTAGTTAATAAAGAACAAAGGAGACCTGTAAAAATTTGGGTGGGGATCTAAGGGAGAGCTGCTGAACAAGATGTACTAAGGTGATTCGGAGACACATAGAAGCCTTTTTGGGAGATGGTAGACTATGATGTAAATCATGAAGGAGAATGTGAAAATGGAATGAAAGGAACAGATTTGAAGACTGTGAGTGAAAAGCTGGCAGGACTTTTGGATGGGACTGAAGGGGAATATTTGTGGAGTCAGAAGTTAAAAATAAATTCTGAGGTTATTGGTCTGGAAGACTTGACCGCTGAGTTATATTGTTCATTGTAATGGGAAATTGAGAAAATGCTGAGATGAGAGGGTAGATGAGTTCACTTTTAAAAATGTCATGAACAATAGGTTTCCTTGAAATGCAGCAAACAGCAGTTAGTTACTGGCAAAGATACTTAGCTTTCTAGTTTGCTAATTGCAATTTCTAATCTTCACAAATGTCAAATTTGTATTTGAAAGTAGGAATTGGAGGTTTCTTTTTCTTTTCTTTTCTTTTTTTTTTGGAACAGGGTCTCTATGTAGCCCTGGCTGTCGTGGAACTCACTTGTTTTGTAGACCTGGCTGGCCTTGAACTAACAGAGGTCCACTTACCTTTGCCTCCTGAGTCCTGGAGTTACATTAAACATTTCAGGTATTTTATATAGTCTTTTTTTGTTTGTTTGTTTTTTGTTTTTCCAGACAGGTTTCTCTGGTTTTAGAGGCTGACCTTGTAGACCAGGCTGGCTGGTCTCGAACTCACAGAGATCCGATTGCCTCTGCCTCCCTAGTGCTGGGATTAAAGGCATGCGCCGCCACTGCTCGGCTTTTTATATAGTCTTAATCTTTGGGTCATTCTTAAATTTGTTTTTCACAAGTAATGATTCTTAGGTAAATTTTGCCTGTGAAACAATATTAAAAAATCATTGATTATAATGTATTATTGTTTTTTGATTGAGGCATTTATCCCAAGTCTAAATAAGTATATTTTAAACACTTTTTACTTGCTATAAAAATCAATATTATTCACATCCAGATTTACATATTATTAAATGAATATCAACATAAACACAGGTTCTTTAGAAAAATACCTTTTACTCAACATAGAGAAAGTGCATGGTAATTTTGCTTAAATTTTTGTGAGTAAGCTCTGATGGTGAACTTTTGGAAGGAAATTTGACTAGTGCCCATCAGGCAGACCATAGAGTTCACTAAGGCCAGCTTGGTTTACTTACCACATAGCAAGTGAGTTCCAGACCAGCCAGACTCTGTCTCAAAACAAAAGTCATTAAGGAAAATTGACTAATTCGTAGTTGCATAGTATTTTGCAGTATCAGATTACACTTTTAACACAAAGACTAGTTAGTTACTTGGAGGCTTTCTAATTTCCAAAGATGGTTGTTTCCTTGTTGCATGAGCTCATTTCTTTTACCTTTTCTTGTCTTTTTTCTTTTTCTTTTTTTGGACATGGCTTCCCTGTGTAGCCCTGGGTGTCCTGGAACTAGCTCTGCCTCCTGAGAGCTAAAGTGCTGAGATCCACGGCATGAACCACCAAGCTGAGCTCACTAGCTAATTTCTTGATTTTTCTCATTTAATGGAGAAAAAATAGTTAACGTCTGAGATAGAAAACCAGGATCTTGCTTTTCAGTTCTGTCAGCTAACCTGACTCATAGTTTTAGAGGCTTAAGATATTCAGGTAAGACTTGCACAATCTTTTGTTGTGTACACCTTTAGAATGCTTATTACCAAGTGACAAACACTACTCTGAAACTTTAAAGGGTCCCAGAGATTTGACAGTTTGTTATGACTAACTGAGAACTGCATTTAGAAGAAGTGTTTTCTCATGTTTCCAGCCCTTCAGATGGTACTTGCATCCAGTTTCATCAGTCTCTTATATGGGACTTGAGTTGCAGATGTGAGATTTTGTTTTGGATAAACAAGGCTGGGAGAGCCAACGTCTTGAAGAACCAGCAGTGTATGATGGGAATGCTGTTTTTGTGTGAGCTTTGTGCATAGAGAGGGCTGAGAAACATATGCTGGCTCTGTTGTCACAGTTCCTTTTTTTCTGTTTCTGTTTTTGTGCCATGCTTACTATTAAAGACATTGTATCTATTAATTTAGTGTGTCTGTGTATGTGGAGGTGAGAGGAACTGAGGTCTGAACTTAGGCCATCAGATTTGGTGGCCAGCGCTCTTACTGGATGAACTATCTTTTTTTCTATATTTTAAAATAAGATTCAGGGGCTTGAGGGACAGGGATAAGGAACGGCTATCTGAGAATAGTGCCTCTTGGGATACTCTACCCTACAATGGAGAATGGGGAGCAGAGGTGCATTGGGTGTGACAGCCATGAGACCTGATACTGAGACAAGACCAACCTGAATCCCCAGGCACTGTTCCACAAAGAACATAGTCACTCTAAGAAAATAAAGTCGTTGGAACAGTTAGCATCATTTTTTAGCCTGATCTTTCAGGGATGTCCCAGTGGTGGTAAGAAGGAAAATTATGCATAATTTGAAGAGTTTTATGGTACAATGATTTTGTGGATGTTGCAGTCTTGATATCTAACTTTAGTTTTACACATCTTTTTTTGTTTTTGTTTTTGTTTTTCAAGACAGGATTTCTCTGTATTGTTTTGGAGCCTGTCCTGGAACTCGCTCTGTAGACCAATCAGGCCTTGAACTCACAGAGATCTGC